TATATATATCTCATGTGTCAAATCCTGTTCACGTGTCTTCCCTGCTCAATAACAAACTGCACATGCAGAGCACATGCACAAGGCTATAATAATAAATGATTTTATTATGTATAAACAACAGTGTAAGCCAATTGGAATTTATGACTCAGGACTGTGTTCATAAAATTGACTTGAACTGATTCTACTCTGCAGGAAACACAAAGTGTAAAGTGTAGTCAACAGAACAACTTGATGTTGAGATAAGAGTACACCATAAAATAATCTAAAAATAACTCAGAACTCAGACAACAACAACAGTAAGCTACTAATAGGAGATTTTGAACATTAAACACTTGATTTTCGGCATTTTGGTAAAATTTTCAGAATCGATTTGTGTCTTTTCTGCATCAATTCATGGTGGAAATGTCCTTTTTTATGTGAAGGGAAACACAAAATTCAGGCACCGGCTATAGACTCTGGGTGTAAACTTTCTAAATGTCATGTTTTTTTTGTTTTTTTTTTTGATCCCTGCAAATGTTCCCCTAAAACAATTCTCTTGTTACTATTTTTAAGGGGGGCACCATCACTGCATCCTGGGCTTAGCAGAACCCAAGAGGATTGTGATTGGTTAAGAAAATACAAAAATACCATTCTTTTCTTCTTTAGCAGAATGACAATGAGTACAGTCAGGCGCCAGGCGAAAAATCAAAATACAATAGAACATAATGCAGTAATTTCTCTGAGGAGTTCGGTATTACTTAAAATGTTTCACCCTGTACATCAACTGAAGAGAGAAACCTACTCAATGTGTCTTCACTGGAGACCATTTTAGTGATGCAAACCAGTGTCCTTTCCTATTTGCTATACAAATAAAGTTGCCTTTCTTAGCCTTGCCTCACAGCAGCACAATTAATAAATGAAAGACGGAGATGGGAACTCATGCTACAGGCAGGTAGAAAACCAAAGCTGCAAATGAATCCAAACTTAGAAGCCTAACAACTTACATTGTACTAATAAGTTGCTTTAATGAAATGCTAAAAATTCATATTCAGACACTTCACTGCAAATTAAATGTTTAATTGAATGTTTAGTATTTGTTTATAAATAAATAGTTTTATTAATTTATCTTAATTTAAACCTTATTTCAGTGACACAAGCTAAAACGCAGCACTGGACCAGTGGAAGTTACAACAAATTGAGTCCTACAACTAAGATATCCATCCATCCATCCATCCATCCATCCATTATCTATACACCACTTAATTCTCACTAGGGTCGCTGGAGCCTATCCCAGCTGACTTAGGGCGAAGGCAGGGGACACCCCGGACAGGTCGCCAGACAACTAAGATATTCTAAAATGAATTAAATAAATCTCAATTTGAGGTGAACATATTAAAGCATGTTTCTTTGCAGTGGCAGCTCTGAAGCTTTGTAGTAACCTTCAACGAATGTTCCTCCTGTCTTGACATTTAAAAAGAAAATTCAAGACATACATGTTTTCACTGGCTTTTGACTCATAATGTTCCTAATATTTTAGTATTTTATATTAATTTTTATGACAGAATTTTAAGTTGTTATCTTGTTTTGCCTACGTTTTTAGTATTTTATATTTTTCAAATTTTGTTTTACAAATTTATTTTATAAGTCTTTATCTTACACATATTATTAATATTATTGTTGCTTAAATAACATAATCAACTCTTTGTTCAGCTCAGGTTGTTTTAAAACGTGATATATAGATAAACTTGATTTTAATGATTTATTTTTCTGTCAGAGTTTTGAGTTGTTATCCTGTTTTTCCTTGTTTTTAAGTATATTTATGAAATTTTGTTTTACAAATAACTTTTATAAGTCTTTTTCTTACACATATTACTGCTGCTTTGTTTTTATTTTCTAAATGACACAGTCAACTCTTTGGTCAGCTCAGGTTGTTTCAAAACGTGATATATAGATAAACTTGATTTCCTGTCCCTCCTCGAAATAAAACTACACGAGCAGTGCGCATGCGCCGAGGGCATCCCGCCCATTCTCCGCCCAGAAGCTGGTGTATCCTTTGGTGCGGCAGTGGGCCGTCTTGGTGCGAATAGACGATCGCTGCCTCACGTAGCTGGCACGTGCGGACGGGGCGGTACTCACCGTGACTCCCTCCTCCCTCCCTCCTGCTCCCCCCCTCCTCCCCCCCGTCACGTTTCCTTTCTCTCCGCAGATTGTGTTTGCTGAAAGCCAAAGCAGCGCCGCAGATTGGCTGGGACACAGTGAATGTAGGTCAGGAGCTGCTTGTGCAAACATGAGCGTCGTAAAAAATGGCCCAAATGTCCCAAAAAGCGACGTGTCCTCACAGAATACAAAAAAAAAAGAAAGCATGAAAAAAATAAAAAAAAACCGCCTGTTGCTGGCGGGCACGCATAGAATTAAATTTAGGTCACACAGCTCACCCCTGGGGTTTGGGTGGGAGGTGTTTATTCACAGTCCCTTTTTTTTTCTTCTTCTTGTTCTTCTCCATAGGTGAGCTGAATCACAAACTGC